CATTAATTGTTATTTCAATTTACCACTGCTGCAAGGCAAATGGTGTCGTTGACATAACAGTAATTTATTCTGGCTATTCCGGAAAGAGCAACGACACACAACTCATTAACTGATTGCCATATTTGTGCAATAGTGAGAAATCCTTATAGATTAGAAATGTCAATATCCAGCCCTAGCTGCAGGACTTACTTCAAGTGCCCAGAGGTTGCTTGGTTAAAGCCTGCAATTAAGCTGTCAGAAGTGGCGTTGGAGCTGCGGCTATCCACTGAATGGAAAGATCTGTGCTTTGTTTGCTAGTCTGATAGCCTGGTGCACATTGTGGGGTTGGGGTGTGTGTGTGAATGAGTGAGAGACAGAGAATGTGTGCATGTGACAGAACAAGAGCAAGCTGTGACACAGAGAAGGGTGAGGGGGAAATTTAAAAGTTAAATGATATAAAAATTGTAGCTACTACTCCCTCTAGTGCCAATCTCATTTAAGGATGCTTTTGAGGTCCAGATGTGCGAAATGTTTTGCATAACAGGAGCAGGTGGAGCAGATGCATTTCTCTCATCTCGGATCTGGAGATTATTTAAATATCTGAACAGCCACAAAGTAGCAGGCAGAGGTCCTCCATGGGCAAAAGAGAGAGAGAGAGATTTAGGTGTGAGTAGTACCACCCACTTACAGGCAGTTGCTACAAAGAGAGAAGGGAAGAAAGAGTTGAATTCAGCTATGTTCTTTTCTGAGTCAACTTATCGAAATTAATGGATCCAAATTATTCACTTCACTTAACTTCAATAGGTCTACTCTGGGTAGGACTGACACTGGATATAACTCAAAATCTCCACTTCTGGGCACTGGGAGTGCATGGAGTCAGATCTGTTTTTTATACACCTATATTAATTATGCATTTTAGGTTGTTTTATCCATGTTGTTATCTTTGTTTTTAATGTTTATTTTTGTGAGCTGCATTGCTTTCCTTTTATTTATTTTTTGGGAGGAAAGAGGGCCTGGTAAAAATGAAGACGAAAAAGTAAGTCTAATGTAACATGAAAAGACGGCCACAGAGGCATACTAAAAGGTGGGGACTTAGGCTGAATTGTGTTTTAGGGTTCCAGTTGTCTCTGGCTCATACATCACATATTCTCCCAATATTCACCTACAAATGGAGTTATCTGCTAAGGTCCTCTCTGATTCCCACCTGCCTTATCTACCATGCCATTTCCTTTCACCGGTCTCGCTCCTGGGTCTTTTACAGCACTTGCTCCTTGAAATTAAGCACCTCCATCATGCCAGGAAAAGAACTTTTGTCTCTTAAATTCCTGCTATTAAATCAGGCCGCTATTAAAGACACATGAGCCGGACTAGTTTAAAGCATGACAGCACTGAACTCCTACTGTTCTGTCCCTGAAATCCTCTGTAAAACAGAAGACACCCTGCTGGCAGTTTAGCATTCGGTGCATTTTACTATGGTTGTAAACATGGTCATGACTCTGTTGCCTTGGAATGAGGAAGCAACTGCTTTATTCTGAATTACAGTGAATTTTAAAGAGGTCATGTCTAAGATGAGCACTACTATTTATACTGGTAACATCCAAGATAATTTAGCAAGAGCCAGAGACTCAGTTTAACAGAGGACAGACACTCCCACCTAGCGATCCATTTCCATATGTGGTAGGCATACAGATGGCATTTATCACCTGTTCCCTTATCATCCAATGACTGATCTCATGATGGGGGGGGGGAAGGGGAGGAGAGGGCAGTTTACATCCCTATCCAGTGGAGAGATTTAAATCTTTCCACCCAACCCACAGTTGTGTTTACATTGGATCTATATTGGCTCCCAGTATGCTTCCAAGCACAATTCAAAGTGTTGGTGCTCACCTCTAAAGCTCTAAATGGTCTCAGCCCAGTATACCCGAAGGGGCGTCTCCATCCCCATCGTTCAGCCCGGACACTGAGGTCCAGCTCTGAGGGCCTTCTGGCGGTCCCCCCACTGCGAGGTTACAGGGAACCAGGCAGAGGGCCTTCTCAGTAGTGGCGCCTGCCCTGTGGAACACCCTCCCACCAGATGTCAAGGAAATAAACGACTTTTAGAAGGCAGCCCTACATAGGGAGGTTTTTAATGTCTGATGTCTTCCTGTGTTTTAATTTGTTGGAAGCCGCCTGGCATTGCTGGGGCAACCCAGTCAGATGGGTGGCATATTATTATTATTATTATTATTATTATTATTATTATTTTCTTTCTTTCTTTTTGCCAAAATTGGTGGGGTCTGGAAAGGGCAGAACAAATGGGTAGGTGGGAAGATCAAGCCCCTGAGGTGAGGTTAGCTACCCCTGCTCTAGAGATGGGAAGTGAATGGAACCTGAAAATTGACAACTCTGGTACATACACTAAAATGATGTTTTTAAATAGAAAAACAACAACAATGCCTCCAAAATCTCCCCGACTCATAACCAGGTCAGTTTCCAGAAAAATAGTGACTTCAGAGGTAAATAGGGTCACTTGGAGAACCAGTAGATATGAATTGCTGAGATCGTGACTTCAGTAAGTTCATCTTGTCCCTTCCTGCCCCCAGGAACACCCTCAAGACTAATTTAGAAACACTAAATATTTTATAATACTTCTCTGCTCTTGGCGATTTCTCAGTGCCCTCCCTGCACCCTCAACTCTCAGGTCCTTAAAAGGTTTCCACAGATGTTGCTGGCGGCTGATTCAGGAGTCAGGATATAAGTAAGAAGGTCAATCAGGTCTCCAAGTGCTTATGTAAAGGCGATGTCAATGGGGTTACACAAGGAGCACTTCATCCATCCTCTCCCAGCTTCTCTGGTGCAGCTATAGTGATGCAGGCTTTTGCTACCTGCCTATTTTCTCAGTCACTGTGTGCTTCAGTCTTGACCTTCAGCATTGTCCTGCACATCCATTTCTAAGCGAGGGAAAGTTCAGAAAAGCCAGACCATCTGAATTCCAGGAGCTGCACAGACTTAATAGTTCTGTGATGGAGACTAATGGGAGTCTCTCTGGCGATACTTCTGATACTTTCTATTTCTGACTGGATGGCAGGGGAGACCTTTCCTGTATTACTTAAGTTCTTCTTCGTCCAACTTTGCCTGGAGAAAGGTGAAAATGACAAATGAAACTGGGCAGCCAAAGGTGATGAGGGAGCCAGAAAGAAAATCACTGCCACCCCCCTCAAAAAAACTCCTGTAGAATATTTTTGAATTTCAGTGTGTTGCAGAAAGGTCTTGCTATAGCCACAAGTAACCATTTAAGCCTCAGCCTAGATAATGAAGGATTAGGAGGAAGAATGCTGGAGAAATTCCAATTTCTTATAGAAAAGCAAACTGATTTGCAAACTGAATTCACAAATTCTTATAGAAAAGCAAACTGATTTGCTGTTCTCAGGCTAATATGTGGATCAGAACTTAGCAGCTCACCATATTTTGCTTGCCTTTAGGACTGTTTTGGCACTGTCCGGGGCAGTTTAAGCAGGCAGACGGCCTGTTCTTTACTCCCTAGGCTAGCCAGCTACCCTCAGGAAGGGGATGTTGTCTAAAATAAAATTCAGCTGCTAGTTCAGTTGGTTCTGTGTCTGGAATGAGGGAGGCAACATCTTCTCTTTCTCTTCAGTTGGCAAAATGTATTGGCTGGCCTAATATGTGGGGAATATGAGGAAATTTGTCTGCTTCTTAAAGCTACGATAAGGTGCAGTAATAGAGATAACTGTGGCTGGCTTCAAGTGATGTTGTGCTTGCTTTTGCTGCATCCTTAGTTACTGATCAGTTTTGTTGCTATGGAATGACGACCTTCTCATTCCTCTGTTGCTGCAGTGTGTTATCACAACTCTGTTTCCCATCGCTGTTGTCACCACCACCATCACTAATCCAATATCAATCATAAATTGGAATCACACTTCCCATTGAAATCAACGGACTTAGACTGACATCACCAAGGATTATTAAGTGTATATCTATCTCACCTTTTCATTAAAAAGGCTATAGTTTCTTGCTATAAACAAAAACAAACCCTCAAGCACAACAACACAATAGCACACTGAAATAATAAAAATGCCTCAAAAATAACTGCAAATATTATTATTTTTCCTAAACAGCACTAACCATACTTGAAATAGGAATCTGAACTTAAGGTCTAAAAATGACAGAGAGAAAAATACAAGCAGTTCCTTAAAAGACTTGGTCTAGCCAAAACATTATGTTGTTTGTGGGGTACTGGGTCCCCCACTAACTGTCATCAGCTGTGAATTTTATTAGTAATACTTATTTTCCTTGGTGTAGAGAAATGTTATTAAAAAGAGGGATGTTTCTAAAGAAGCAAAAAGCTGGTAGCAGACTGCTTTGTGTCTTGTTTGGTCATGGCGATGCTTCCAAGTATTCTCCAGTCGCAACGCATTATGCTTCTACTCTCTCGTTCTTTCACACATACTTGTGAAGTGACTGGGACACCATGCAACTCTGACTGAGAAACAGTTCTGATTAAAAAAACGAGCTGTTGTGCTTAGTTACTGACCTCTGCTGAGAGTCATGCTGGTAGTTATTGTGCCTATTGTGGCAACATGACCCTAACAGGAAGCAGGAGGGAAATATGGTTTCAGGTGAGGAAGGGAAGGGCTTATGCATGTGGAAGGAAATGCAATTTCAGGCACAAAATCTATGGACACTGGGCAGAGAGGCGAAGTACATATGCTTGTGAGTGTCAGAGGTTGGCTGATGTTCACATTTTTATTGGAAATCAGCAGACAAACCTTTGAATGGAAGACTTGGCGGCCTCCAGGCTATCATTCTTTTGTAGGAGGAGCTCAAATGCACATCAGAATTTTAAGTTTGCACATCACCTCCTGGCAAATAGAAGGGGAAGAAATGGAGGCAGTGAGAGATTTTACTTTCTTGGGCTCCATGATCACTGCAGGTGGTGACAGCAGTCACGAAATTAAAAGATGCCTGCTTCTTGGGAGAAAAGCAATGACAAATCTAGACAGCATCTTAAAAAGCAGAGACATCACCTTGCCAACAAAGGTCCGTATAGTTAAAGCTATGTTTTTCCCAGTAGTGATGTATGGAAGTGAGAGCTGGACCATAAAGAAGGCTGATCGCCGAAGAATTGATGCTTTTGAATTATGGTGCTGGAGGAGACTCTTGAGAGTCCCATGGACTGCAAGAAGATCAAACCTATCCATTCTGAAGGAAATCAGCCCTGAGTGCTCACTGGAAGGACAGATCCTGAAGCTGAGGCTCCAATACTTTGGCCACCTCATGAGAAGAGAAGACTCCCTGGAAAAGACCCTGATGCTGGGAAAGATGGAGGGCAGAAGGAGAAGGGGACGACAGAGGACGAGATGGTTGGACAGTGTTCTCGAAGCTACCAGCATGAATTTGCCCAAACTGTGGGAGGCAGTGGAAGACAGGAGTGCCTGGCGTGCTCTGGTCCATGGGATCATGAAGAGTTGGACACGACTAAACGACTAAACAACAACAACAACAACAAGGTGCCCTCTCACCCTTGGCACAACAAATTTACTTTTGAAAAAAGACATTTTGCAGTCAGGAATGTTACAGGGAAATGCACAGAATAACATAGGGGGAGTGGATGGTTAATGGGAAGAAGAATGCTGCCCAAGCAAACCACGATGTTGTATAACCTCTGCACAAACTAATTAGTGCAAATGGTTAATAAAGAACGGACATAGTCTATTGTTCATGTAAGCTGTGTACAGAAGCGCTGTATTGCGGCCAAGATTTTTTTTTGGGGGGGGGGAGGCCCGGCACGGATGCCATGTGCGCGACGTATGACGTGTGCGATGTCATGCGCCCAGGAGCTGGTCACTGAACTGCACCACACTCAGCTCCATGCTTGACCTCCTCTGCCCCCCTCAACTTTGAGGGGGCCCAGTCCCCTGCCAGCAGATATTGAGGGGGCTGAACATACCTCTGCCCCTAGGAATTGGCACCTCTGGTTTGTGCAAGGGAAACAGCCTGTTCAAAGCCCAGATACCCCACAAAAAAAAGGCATTATATAAGAGCACAAGTGTCACTACAGTTTGGGAAGAACAACAAGCCATGGAGCATCACTTTATGTGTTATATAGGTCAGATTGTCATGTCATGTGTTATATAGTCCAACGAGGTGTTATCTTACTTATAGTACTTATAGTAACACGTTGTACATAAAGAGCTACGGTGCTGCTGCCAGGAATGTAGTGAAGTAAGTGAACAACATAAGAAGCCGGTCTCTGGAAACCTACATGACAAACCATTCAGTCTAATCCAAAACTATATGCTTACCATATTTTTCTGCCTATAAGATGCCCCCATATATAGGATGCCCCCTATATTTGGGGACTCAGATTTAAGAAAATGGGGGGAGATGGCACAGAGTTGTTGAACGTTTTGGGGGGGATTACCCAGGGTTAGTTGAGCTTTTTTAGGGGGGATTGCCGAAAATCGCTCATCCCCATGCGTTGCATAATCCACCTCCCGTCTGTCTCATCGCCGGCAGAAGCTGCCAATCGCCCGCACAACTGCCAGAACATCAGCCAGTCAACACCACCCATTGATGAAGCAACCAATAACATGCACAATAGCCACTGACAGCCTCAGCAGCAACCAATCAAATGTTCACTCTACGCAGTACCCATGTATAAGACAACCCCCACTTTTTAGCATGATTTTTAAAGAAAAAAACATAGTCTTACACATGGAAAACTACGGTAATTCCTGTCTGGCATGAGTCTGTTAAAGGGCAACTCTACCTGTGTAATATACAGTGGTACCTCGGGTTACATATGCTTCAGGTTACAGACTCCGCTAACCCAGAAATAGTACATTGGGTTAAGAATTTTGCTTCAGGATGAGAACAGAAACCGTGCTCCAGCGGCGCAGCAGCAGTGGGAGGCCCCATTAGCTAAAGTGGTGCTTCAGGTTAAGAACAGTTTCAGGTTAAGAACGGACCTCCGGAACGAATTAAGTTCTTAACCCGAGGTACCACTGTAGTTAAGTGTGTGACTTGCACATGCTTTTTCTTTTCAGCAATGCACAGCACAGTTTTTTGTTTTGTTTTGGAAAAGCTTGTCAATTTACATCCAGAAATGAAAACCAACATACTAAAGCAAGGGTTGCCTACTTTTTGGGGATGTGAGGGCATATTTTCAAACCCACCTGTCCTGATCACCACTACCAAGGGAAGGGGGACCCTCTGGGCACTAAGGAAGGCCTCTGTGGGTGCTGTGTTGGTAATAGTTGCACTTAAGAACTATGGCCAATATCTGCTGACATAAAGGGTGTTCTGTCTTCCTGCCCTTTTAAAAGCAGGGCAGATTTATGATGCACTGAGTTACAGCAGTTTACCACAATTTTTCAGCACTTGATATATGGACAGCTCCAGCACCATAGATATGGTTTGAATGGCTTGTCTGAATAAAGCAGTTTTTAAAAGAAATCTGAAAGAAAGCAGGAATGTGTGTGTGTGAGAGAGAGAGAGTGAGAGAGAGAGAGAGAGAAACTTGGTATCAAGGGAAAGGGCAGTAACCTAGTTTAGGTTGCTCCCCCGAAATACTAGTTTTCAATATACAGGGAGGTTTTTTTCCATAGAAGACTGAAACAATAGTATAAAGAACCCCAACCAACAGCTGTAATTTGAAGCAGCTGAGGCCTGGAATAGCTTTACCGTGCAATGTCAACTCCTTACGAAGGGGGTTTGCGCAACTTAAATTCCATAATGACAAAAAGCCATCATTATTCCAATTCACAGACGGGGTTTAATGATTCCAGTGTATTGCTCAACCTTTATGCTTCAGGTTCTTATATAATCCCAATACTGACAGAACGGTACAGCAGCGCAGCAAGTTTAGTATTTGCTATGGAAACAGATATTCTCCCCACCCTCCCCTATCACACTAATCAGAGAAAAAGTCTCCTGGTGTGTTTGGCAGTACTTTCACCACCAAAAATGGTGCATAATCCAATGCAAAGTGTTTTATATAATGAAGTGGGAACGATGTTGGGGGAGGAAAGAGAGGTGCTTTTTTCTCTATAAAAAAGGAATTATTTTTGGTACTTTTTCAAAGGCTTAGTGTTCTCTGCTTAATATATCTGTAATAAACTCAGATTAAAATTTCCTATTCCGTTTTTCCTTCTTTCGGCTTTCTTGCTGCTAAAAACTCAATTAACAAGAAAACCAATGTAGGAAATTGATTCTGCATTGAGTAGAATCAATTTATTCCTTCCATTTCACCTTTGCCTGCTTAGTGAATCTCAGCAAGCCTTCCATTGCACAGGAATCCTTATAGCTTATTTGTTCACAAAACAACAAGGGTTGCCAGCTATTCCACTGGCAGGGCTCCTCTTCCATAAATAGCTGAGTGAAAAGGAATAATAATAATAATAATAATAATAATAATAATAATAATATTTATTTATTTATTTATTTATACCCCGCCCATCTGGCTGAGTTTCCCCAGCCACTCTGGGTGGCTCCCAATCAAGTGTTAAAAACAGTACAGTGGTGCCCTGCAAGACGAATGCCTCGCAAGACGGAAAACCCGCTAGACGAAAGGGTTTTCCATTTTTCAATGCGCTTCGCAGGACGAATTTCCCTATGGGCTTGCTTCGCAAGACGAAAATGTCTTGCGAGTCTTGAGATTTTTTTTCGCTTTCCCCCTCCTTTTTCTAAGCCGCTAAGCCTTTAATAGCCTTTTAGCAGCTAAGCCGCTAAGCCTTTAATAGCCGCTAAACCGCTAATAGCGCTAATCCGCTAAGCCACTAATAGGGTTGCTTCGCAAGACGAAAAAACAGCTAGACGAAGATACTCGCAGAACGGATTAATTTCGTCTTGCGAGGCACCACTGTACAGCGTTAAATATTAAAAACTTCCCTGAACAGGGCTGCCTTCAGATGTCTTTTTAAAATAGGATAGCTGCTTATTTCCTTCACATCTGAAGGGAGGGTGTTCCACGGGGTGGGTGCCACTACCGAGAAGGCCCTCTGTCTGGTTCCCTGTAACCTCACTTCTCGCAATGAGGGAACCACCAGAAGGCCTCCAGTGCTGGATCTCAGTGTCCGGGCTGAACGATGGGGGTGGAGACGCTCCTTCAGGTATATAGGACCGAGGCCGTTTAGGGCTTTAAAGGTCAGCACCAACACTTTGAATTGTGCTCGGAAATGTACTAGGAGCCAATGCAGATCTCCCAGAACCGGTGTTATGTGGTCCCGGCGGCCACTCCCAGTCACCAGTCTAGCTCCCGCATTCTGGATTAATTGCAGTTTCTGGGTCACCTTCAAAGGTACCCCCCCCCCGTAGAGCGCGTTGCAGTAGTCCAAGCGGGAGATAACTAGAGCATGCACCACTCTGGCGAGACAGTCCACGGGCAGGTAGGGTCTTAGCCTGTGTACCAGGTGGAGCTGGTAGACAGCTGCCCTGGACACAGAATTGACCTGCGCCTCCATGGACAGCTGCGAGTCCAAAATGACTCCCAGGCTGCGCACCTGGTCCTTCAGGAGCACAGTTACCCCATTCAGGACCAGGGAATTCAGGACCAGGGAACAATGCAACAGTTGGACTTTTCCTGGGAAACAATTGCAGTAATGGGAACAACCTTTACTCTGCTGGATTTCAGCTCATCACCAAAGGAATTCAAGACACCCAGAAAACAAAGTTTACCTGAAAAGTTACTGGGGAATAATTTGTGTGTTCTTATTCTTATTAAGGCTACATTTGCCATTTGCATGAGTGGCGACTCTCTTTTCTCAGACAGGGCTTTGATCTCCAATGCAAGTGCCTGGTATAAGCCTTTCATTGTAAGGTCTAATGAAATTAATGAGCTTCGCTTCCAAGTAAATGTGCTCAGAATTAGGTTAGGTCTTCCTTATATTCCCCCCGGGGAATATTGGATTGTGCTATTTGACAAGGAGATTAGACAATGTGTAAGGCAGATAATTTGCTCATAGAAACAAATTGCAATAAATAATAGTAGCTGTTGTTGTCTGAAGCCGTTTGTTCAAAGGCAGCTTAAAAAAATGGCCATTGTGGAGCCTGATGGGTGCAAGACAAGGCTTCTGTGTGCTTTTCCCCAGATGGATTGCATGAATCACATGCACAAATGAGTGCTACTAAGGCAGTTTTTCTTCTGTGTCGAACAAGAGGCATTTTGGAGAGGCATTTTACATCATTTGAAACGTGTGGCTTTCCATTGTGTCTTTTTTGTGCGTTAAAAAAACAACAACATCGTGGGACGCGGGTGGCGCTGTGGGTTAAACCACAGAGTCTAGGACTTGCCGATCAGAAGGTCAGCGGTTCGAATCCCCGTGATGGGGTGAGCTCCCATTGCTCGGTCCCTGCTCCTGCCCACCTAGCAGTTCGAAAGCACGTCAAAGTGCAAGTAGATAAATAGGTACCGCTCTGGCGGGAAGGTAAACGGTGTTTCCGTGCGCTGCTCTGGTTCGCCAGAAGCGGCTTAGTCATACTGGCCACATGACCTGGAAGCTGTATGCCAGCTTCCTCGGCCAATAAAGCGAGATGAGCACCACAACCCCAGAGTCGGTCACGACTGGACCTTATGGTCTGGGGTCCCTTTACCTTTACCTTTACCTTTTTTTTAAACACCAGAAACCGTGGGCAGCCCTTTCACATTGGGACCACGCACTGGTATTCCAGGTGGGTAGCGGTTGTGGCCCGGAATGGCTCCCCTTCGTCAAAGCACAGATGAAACAATTTAACTGCGGCCAGCAGTTGGAGCCGTGCTCAGTCAGCTGCAAGGGCTACTACTGTTGCGTGTCAAGACCCCGAGGCCTCCCCCTTATGTTGAATAATAATACGTGGACACCATATTTTAGGTTAATGGGCAACATTTAGGCCACAACTTTATTGGTTACAGAATGTGAGCAGTATTGGCTTAGGCACTGGAATTGAACCGACTTTATCTGACTCCTGCCTGCCTGCAGGAAGTCTCACAAGGGTTAAGCACCAGTAGGAGGAGCCCTGTTGATGCACATCAACTTGAAGCTCCCCCCCCCCCGGGTCACCAGAAGGTTGTGCCATGGCCCTAGCCTCCACCCGGGCTTCGGACAGGAACCACGACCCCCGGATTCCTTTCACACAGGCATGGCCAAACTTGGCCCTCCAGCTGTTTTGGGACTACAACTCCCATCACCCTAGCTAACAGGACCAGTGGTCAGGGATGATGGGAATTGTAGTCCCCAAACAGCTGAAGGGCCAAGTTTGGCCATGCCTGCTTTAACAGCATACCCTTTAGTATGGAGGGGCAGGTGATGGCCACACCTCCCATCCCCCAAACAAGGTTCTGGACCATAAAGAAGGCTGATCGCCAAAGAATTGATGCTTTTGAATTATGGTGCTTGAGGAGACTCTTGAGAGTCCCATGGACTGTAGGAAGATCAAACCGACCCATTGTGCAGGAAATCAGCCCTGAGTGCTCACTGGAAGGACAGATCCTGAAGCTGAGGCTCCAATACTTTGGCCACCTCATGAGAAGAGAAGACTCCCTGGAAAAGACCCTAATGTTGGGAAAGATGGAGGGCTCAAGGAGAAGGGGACAACAGAGGACGAGATGGTTGGACAGTGTTCTCGAAGCTACCAGCATGAGTTTGCCCAAACTTCGGGAGGCAGTGGAAGACAGGAGTGCCCGGTGTGCTCTGGTCCATGGGGTCATGAAGAGTCGGACACGACTAAACGACTAAACAACAACAACCACTCGAGCTGAAGGCTCGCCGCCAATACCCTCACACCTGCAAGTATGACACTGAACCTGGAGTATTGAACGAAATCTAGTCCTATCCCTGACACCCTTGCTGGATATCCAAATATGTTTGAATCTAGCAAACAGCAGCTGTCCAGGATTTTTCTTAAACACACCCCTGCTATGGTCACAATCAAGACTGGGCATCTCGGGTAGCTGTTGCTGCTGCTTCTGGACACAAGTGCAAGCTTTGCATTCCATGTCAAGTGTTGTTTGGTCCTAAGACTCTCCAGAAATTCCTCTTCCATTCTCACCAGCTTCATCTGCCTACAATGTGGTTTTATCAGGCATCACAAGGCCATGAGAAATGCCATCACTTTTATGAATATCTCCAGGACAGTGGGAGTAGATGGATGAAATACACAAGGGCATTGGTTGGTAACCCTAGCAAATGAAGCTTTATAAAAAATCTTCATGGCATACAAATAATCCAGGTGTAATTATGTACAGCATTCTTGGGGAAATGGAAACATTACATTGCTCTGAATATAAAGAGGAAGACATTCTGGGCATGGTTTCAACTGCAAAAAGGTGTTTGGTTCTCTAAGGATTTGCTGAAGAGAGTTTATACAAGAATGTGACAACATTTTGCATGTATAAATATGGGGAAACAAAAAACAAAATGTGTTGTGCCACAAAAGCTTCCCTATTTGGAAGGAGAAACAGGAGCAAAGAACTATAAATTTCATAGCATCATTTCATACTTGTCTTTCTAGTTGTAGAGCACATGTTTTGCATCATAAAGCCCTACGGTTCAGTTCCTAGTTTTCCTATTTTAGGGATCTAAGGTGACAAGGCTGGGAAAGCAGGTTTGTGATAGAAATCTTAGAAAAGCATTGAGGAGCTCATGATCTTCCAGATGTTGCTAAGTGTACAGATCCCATCATCCCTGACTCTTTGCTATTCTAGCTGAGGTTGATGATTAAAGTTGGAGTCCAACAACATTTGAAGAGCCACAGGTTCTCCTAGGAAAACATGGGGTGGGCTTTTAAACATCAGAGGGGTATTCTTTGTACTTTTTTTCCTAGAGCTGAAACAATTATCTAGGACTCTTCAAACGTTGCCCGACTCCCCAATTTTGCCATTCTGGTTTTGAATGTGAATTTTAAATGAAATCTTATCTCCAAATGTGAGTTCTTGTTGGCATCTGGTTATTCTTTTGATCGTCAGTGGCTATCTAACATTAAATGGTCAATACCATTAAATATGAAATGCCACTGCATTCCAGCTGTTGAAATACTGTCCAATATCACGTTCACAGTTCAAATACCTAAATCAGGCACCATCAACCTGTCTCAACCTGAAAGGGAAAAAATTGAACTTCTAATAAAAATATGCAAGTTGTGTCTAAAATCAGCCTTGTTACCAGACGACACGGAAGAAAACCACTTTAACACCTCTCTCTCTCTCGCTCTCTCTCTCTCTCTCTGTGTGTGTGTGTGTGTGTGAGAGAGAGAGATATGTCTCATCCACACCTCAGTTTGCCCTGCCGCTTTCACCCAGGGAAAACACACTTTTTACCCCTGAATCAAAAGAATCCAGTTTTATGGTGACTGCTGTTTGTTCTGATTCAGCTGCAAAGAATGCGTTTTCCAGGGGAAAGCTGTGGGGCAGGTGCAAAACTGCCTAGAAATCATGTGAGAAACAGAAAACTGCTCAGACCTGTGCATCCTAGGCATGCGACGAGCAGAAGTGTGGAAAAGCCCAAGGAGAGAAAACCAGCAGCCTATTCCCCATCTGTTTGCTCAAGCCAATTATTCAACTCCCCCTCCCCCCAATTCTTTATATCAAACTTTGCAAAATGATAGAACTGTATAATGATGAGTGAGTAGGTCCTTGAGGTTTTGTACTATATGCCCTTTACAGTGCATACCTATGTGGGCCTATGAACTAAATCCTATGGAGAGTAGGACTCAAATCAACGGCTTCAAGTTACAAGAAAGGAGATTCTGACTAAACATAGGGAAAAACTTACAGACAGTAAAAGCTGTTCGACAGTGGAACGGTCTCCCTCAGGAGACAGGGGACTCTCCTTCCTTGAAGATTTTTAAGTAGAGGTTGGATGGCTATGTGTTATGGATGCTTTAGCTGAGATTCCTCCATTGCAGGGCATTGGACTAGATGACACTTGGGGTGCCTTCCAGTTCTAAGATTCTATGAATTCATTGTTGGGAAAAGCACCCAGGAAGACCACCAACTTCCCAAGACACCGGGGTGTCTCTCCGGTGGTCACTCTCTGGCTGTAAATCTTCCTCAGTCCAGAGAGGCTGGTGATAAGCGACCCCTCCCTCCTGAGAGGAGCACACTCGTCTTCTTGCATCTCATAGCAGAAGAAAGAGTCAATCAGTAGCTCTAAACTACAGTGGTACCTCGGGTTACATACGCTTCAGGTTACATACACTTCAGGTTACAGACTCTGCTAACCCATAAATAGTGCCTCAGGTTAAGAACTTTGCTTCAGGATGAGAACAGAAATCATGCTCCGGTGGTGCAGCGACAGCAGGAGGCCTCATGAGCTAAAGTGGTTCTTCAGGTTAAGAACAGTTTCAGGTTAAGAACGGACCTCCGGAACGAATTAAGTACTTAACCCGAGGTACCACTGTACTTTATTTTACAGTCTATATACAAAGAATCCATCAGCATGTCTGTGCTCTCTCAGCATCAGTACAGAAAAAGCATCACACACAGAAGTGAAACTAACTTTCCCAACAGTACTGAGACTTCCTGTCTCACGCTCTCAGAAACTCACATGATATAAACAACATAGTGCTACGTACTGGAGCAGCACCGGTGGATAAAAATTCTAACATCATTTGGACTTATTCGCATGAGAGTGGGTATAGGACTGCAGCACCTTGAATTTTAAGATATATTTGCTTGAATTACCACCATTGCCTTGCTAGCTCCTGAATTTTCGAGAATAAACATTGCATATACTAGTAGCACGTCTGATTTCATTTTCTTGAATAGCATATTTCTAACAATGATTTCTCAGCTTGGCAACTGTTATCCCTGATAAAAGGGGTCTCTGCAATGAACCTGATGCCTTCTTCCTTGACAAACAACAGGACAGACATTTGCAAAGATTTTCTTTTCTTAAAGAAACCCCCAAACATAATTACTGTAGCTCAGGGGAATGACCTAATTAACTTTCTGCGAATGCCTCTCATTAAGATAGCAATTAGCAAATTCTTCTCTTTCAAGCCTTTATTGCTTTTGCAATGCAAATCCAAAAACAAAACAGTGAGAACTAGAGTCACCAATCACGGCAGACAGCGCACAAGCAAAACACGAATGCGGCTGTTGGGTTATTTAGACCCGTTATCAAAATTAACAATAAATGGCACTGTGGTCAAATATTGCAATTTCAGAATTTCCTGATCTTCTGGCAGCGATATCAAAAACCCTGTCATGCTTTTCAGGCAGTAATCAAGAGGTGGTCATGACTGCCGCACTACACCATTCCCGCAATATCAGCAGCTCTCAAAATAAATGCCCATTTTCATTGCCCAAACAGCTGCACTTGTGTTCATTTGCAACTGTTTTGCAACACAGTCTGTGTTATTTAGCTGTTGCAATATAAGGATCAAAGTTTCCACAGACAGAAAACAAACCTCTTGGAGAGGTTGGGTGATATAGTTGTGGGGGGTGCAGGAGACTTGGTCTGGGAAATTACTGTATTTTTCGGTCTATAAGATGCACCAGACCAAAAGACGCACCTAGTTTTTGGGGGAGGAAAACAAGAAAAAAAATATTCTGAATCTCAGAAGCCAGAACAGCAAGAGGGATCGCTACGCAGTGAAAGCATCAATCCCTCTTGCTGTTCTGGCTTCTGGGATAGCTGTGCAGCCTGCATTCGCTCCATAAGATGCACACACATTTCCCCTTACTTTTTAGGAGGGGAAAAGTGAGTCTTATAGAGCAAAAAATATGGTATCTCTGCATCCCTCCTCCTCCGGGGAGTGACCTGGGCTGCAGCTTTTTAGGGTTGGGGAAGAAGCTTGGCTTGTAGCTGCCTTCTGTTGAGTCTTATTCTTTGAGGTTAGAGGGGGTCCTGTAGCTGTTATTCCTTTGCTCATGTTTGGCGTTGACCTTACGGTGGTGAGATAGGAGTCCATCCTCATCGGTTTCTCCGCTTTACTGGATTTATGAGCCCCATTATCATTACTGGGGCTGGTCCAGATTCTTTTCTTGCCTCTGGATGACATAGCAGAGTCTGTGATATCAGATGAGAGCCGTAAATGCCCAAGAAGAATAAAGTGACCTGTGTTCATGCATAATGCTAAGCCATGGCTTAACCTCGAGTTGTCCCCAGATGATCAAACAGGCCATGGCTTGTTTCTCCAAAGTGCGTTTTGTGTTCCAGCTACTCTTGCTTCATGCCTTTGTCATTTGGTGGGTGTCAGTGGTGAGGTTGGCAAACAAGCCATGGTTAAGAAAGGGTACAGAGTTAACACATAATGCTACACCGTAGTAAAAACCAAGGTTTGTAAACTGACAACAAACCATGACTTCAGACTGTGGTTTGTTGACAGTAAGCAAACCGTAGTTAAACTGCTGGGCAGGGTTCAAGCACGCCAGTGCAAGTAGATAAATAGGTACTGCTGTGGCAGGAAGGCAAACGGCATTTCCATGCGCTCTGGTTTCTGTCACAGTGTTCCGTTGCTCCAGAAGTGGTTTAGACCTGCTGGCCACATGACCTGGAAAGCTGTCTGTGGACAAATGCTGGCTCCCTCAGCCTGAAAGCAAGATGAGCGCCGCACCCCATATTCGCCTTTGACTGGACTTAACCTTCCAGGGGTCCTTTACCTTACATCTCATGCTAAACCATGGTTTGCTGTGATATGTGACTCAGTCCAATGTGTACACAGCTTTAAAGCTAAAAGATTCATAATTCTTTGTGCCCTAAATTGGATCCACACATGTCACAGAATTAGGAGGGCATGGGGTAGAATTTTCCTAAGATGACAGAATAGTGGACAACTTGACACCTCAGATGAGCATTCAAAACAAATACATCACCCCCGAAATCCTACAAGTAAAGAACTAGAATGGTGGAGAAAAGAGTATATGATGCACATTATTTTGATTGCGGCAGGTCTTTTCTTGCATATAGGGTATGGGGTTGTGTGCAGGGATTTAGAAATTGTACCTCCCAGTTGCAGTCTTACATGGTACCTACAAAATATAAGGCAAATTCAGCTGGTGTCATTTTACAGGTGATGGGAAGTTTTTGCATTTTTCAACAGGAAGAGATTAGTAGTCTAAAGTTACATTTATAAGATATGTGCTTGACATGACATTTACATCATTCTCATCCCTTAAAGCTAAAAATGTTATTTACAGCCCTTTCCATTCTTCAGCAATGGCACTTAGAGCTTCCTATCTGAAAATACCCTAAGATATAATTATGTGGAGACATCAGCTGTCTTGCAAAGGAAATATGTAAGAGACGATAAGAAGTGAATTTTGCACAAAATTCAAAGAGTCTATTAAAAGAGGGCGAAAGCAACACACAACACTTGTTTTAACTCTCGACAAAGGTTTGTTGTCGGCATTTTAGACAAATAGTATCTCTTTCACCTTCTTGCATTATAGTCACGGAAACAAAATGAATGGATTAATAAAAACAGCAGGGAATCTATTTTTGCCTTCGGATTGCTCATATGTTGTCATAATGCATTAAAAATTTATGGATGGATGAGTTATCTGCTGTAGGCCTTATTCAACCTTGCAAGAAGCTGCTCTACCCCAGACTCAATAGAAGAGAAAGCTGAAGGTAACCAAAAATACAGATGAGAGGCCACTGTAACATTCCACTAATTCGACACCACCCAGAGTCAATGCCAGGATGGCAGAAAGCTGAGGGCAATTTGCTGAGGAGGACTAAAATAATCAGAGACTGAAACGTCAACAGAAGAACTATAGTTCAGTGGGCAACCACAAACACTGTATGCAGAATCTTGGGACGCTCAAAGATTTTGTTCAGTCCACCTTTAAAAGTGAACTAACCTGATTCACACTTCCAGGACTAAACACATAGTTCAGAATACAGTTACCCTTTGGTTTTCACACTTTTTCTGAATTTTGAGATGCATTGCTTATTAGGGCTGAGCCTAATGGGTCTACTTGGAAGGATATGGGCATTGACCAAGGTGGATTGAGACAGCCACGGATAGCTACAGATCAGGTTGGATAGCCCAGAATGGCTTATTATGAAGTCGCTGTTGGGCTGTGTTAAAGAGTACCCTGAACTGCCCACCACTTGACAAAGCCCCTTTCCCGATTTATATCTATCACACATATAATTGATGCCAATCTTTGAGCAGTTTGTTTCTAAAGTGCTAGTAGCAGCTGCTAGTAGAGGCTGTCTCTTTGGTACGTGTCTTCTCCATATCTCAGCCCAGGTTTATATGACTATCTCAGTCATTCATTTGTTTTTATTCCTTAAACAAATATTAATCCTGTACTAATTTATCAGGGAATAAGTCCCTTTCAACCCAGTGGGGCTTAGTTCTGAGTAGACACAGACTGCTGTGTTTGTTTTAAAGAAAAACAATAGTACTAGATTTCTGCCCTTCCTATTATTTTGTTCTTCTAAACAGACTATTTATCTTAGTACTAGACAGATGGATGGATAGACAGATAGATGGATATCACCTTCATGTGGATGGAAAGACCTGTAAATGTCAGCAAGGTGAGAACTTATAAAACAAGTGACTGCTGATTCCTATAACTCTATAATTCATGAAAATCTTTCTAACATTCATCCATATTTCAAAAAAGCACCAGCAGGTTTTCTTTCAGCTCCCATGACAGCTTGTCTCACTGTGATTTACTTTGGATGCTGTCTGTTCATTATTCCATATCTTTCCCCCATATTATCCTCTAGACTTACTATTTCTCTCAATATCCATCATCTATTATTTACGTCAGGATCACTGAGACCAAACGGGATAAAATGTCTGAGCACAAGGGATTGCATTGGGAATTGAGTGGCTGTGTCGTCATTAGGACTGGGTTAGGGTCATGGCTAAATCATGCCCACTCCAGTCTTGAAGTCTGTGTTCCTCTGCTCAGAGTCCCTGAGATGGAAGTCAGAGAAGCTGGAAGCTCAGCAGATAGGAGCTACTGCCTTATTGCCAAAGCAAAAGGAGAAGGCCAGGTTTCTAGAATTTCACATAGGTCTGGCCAATCCAGTGACCATTATTTGATAATTTTTGAGACTGATCTTGCACACCCCTGTTTCATTTAGATTGAAAGGAGGTTATGAGACTTCAGCACACATAGTCTACAGTAGCACACAGTTAATTAGCACAAAGCCCATTGTCTCTGACAACATCAGAGCTCTGGGCTTATAGAGAGAAGAGAGACCCCATTGGACATACAGAAGGTGGGGTGGAGTGGAGTCCCACCGGCAACACTTGCCAATTATGAGGGATCTGTTGAGATAAATACTGTATAAGATGAGTTATGTTACACTATGTGAACATCCAAACAAGTATGGAATTTATACGGAATGTAAGTAATGAGAAATCTAGACATTCAAGGATAGGGGTGTGGGGAAGGATAGGAAAGAAAGGCCAACCAGTTTAATTCTTGTTGCTTTACATTCAATGTATTCTTGAGAATAAAATACAAAAATCTATTGGGTCTTTCCCCCAAGTGCTTTCCTTAGTGGAGGTATGTTCTGGATTTACAATACAGGGGCTTTTCTGTGATGGCACCCTGACTTTGGAATGCATTGTTATATTTTATTGTTTTACTGCGGAATGAATAATTTTTATTTATGCCCATTGTATACCGCATGGGAGTCTGAGTGGATAAAGGGTGGTCTAGTCATATTTTAATTTTTTAAAATAATTTTACAAGGAAAATACAAGGAAGCACCTTTCAGCAAAACAGTAAGAGAAGTTCAGTCAGTAGAGCATGAGAATCTTAATCTCAGGGTCGTGGGTTCAAGCATCACATTGGGTAAAAGATTCCTGCATTGCAGGGGGTTGGAATAGATGACATTTTTGGTCCCTTCCAACTCTATGATTCTGATTCTATGAACTTTGTAACAGTAAGGGCAGCAGTGGAGCAATATGCCTTCATAAGTGGCAGTCTTTAGGCTGAATTGACATCTGATAGAGAAGACATAGTTTTGCCCTGTATTGCAGATCCTGTATTGAGCAGAGGGTTGGACTAATCAGCTTCCCCTAATCTGGTGCCCTCTGGATATTTTGGACTATAGTTCGTATCAACTCTGACCACTGGCCATGCTGGCTGGAGCTGAAGGGAATTGGAGTCTCTATATTAGGCAAGAAAATTGCCTTCTAGTTTGATGCACATTCTGCAAAAGTTTTATGTCTCACTGGTTAAAGCATTTTGGCTACAGAGATTTAGTATACTGGATGTTGAGGACATGAAGAAAAGTATATTTACAAAAGCACATTGATTTCTTATACCATAAAAAGGCAATTTAGAAAGCTCTTTCCTTTGTACTTGGTAAATCCCTCCATGCAGAATGAAAAGAAATTGAAGAATAGTTTGAAAAATCAAAGGTGAATGGATTTAGTGATGACAAATAGCAAGGGGGAAAAAATGTGAAGATGCTGACAATTGTTGGAAATGGGATCATGGCTGTAAATAAAACACCACGCTTGTTTGATCAATCAAGGACAGTTTTCTTTAATTAAAAATGCTGCATTACAATCTTCAAAGGAAAACCGGAGGGATAACCTATATGCAGAAGAATACAGAGAGAAGGATCTCAGCAGGTGCTTGTTGAAATGAACGGCTATAGATAATACAGCACATTGTAGGTTTATCAATCAGTTTTCAGGGGCAATGCAACTTATTGTAACCCTACCAATCTAAGTACCCCCTACATTATCTCCTAGACTTATTGTCTTTGTGGAGGGAATCCTTAAAGCTGCTCCACATTTGCCCTGGTCTGGCAATTGCAAGGGCCAGGTTTAGTTTAAAATTCCAAGTTAAGTTCCCTTTTTGTTCCCTTCCTTTGAAATGTTACACACACCCTTAACATTGTGTAAACGAGGCTCTAGTGACAACAGGGGTGGGAAAAACACAATACACACTGGAATTCTCAACACTGGAGAACTGAGGCAAGGAAAACATCACCATCTACATGAAACCACTAGGGGAGAATGTTCAAAATGGGGTCACCAGCACATTTTGAAATCTACGGAAGTATCAAGGGCACCATCACAAAATGGCCGCTGTGAAGAGTGTGGTTAGTCACAAAATGGCTGCCAAGAGGATTACGGCAAGTCACAAAGCACAAGAAGCTGAGTCCAAGGCAAAGCCTGGGTCTGAGCCCCAAATGTGTAACCACATGTTTGACCTCCACACAACACAATAAAGTGCCCATTTCACAGAAGACAAACTGGCAAAGCTCAGAGAAGAGCAACTGGGGAAGGGCTGTGGCTCAATGGTAGACCATCTACATTGTGTGAAGAAGGACCCAGATTCAATTCGTGGTATCTTCAGGTAGGGCTGGAAGAAAAATCCTGCCTGGAATCCTGGAGAGCCACTATCAGACAGTGTATTTTTTTTTTAATAATTTTTTTTATTAAAGTTTTTTTTTATTAAAGTTTTAAACAACAAAACAAGAAAAACAACACATACAAAAAACAATACAAAACTTAACAATAAAAACACAAAGCACAACAATTAAAAACAAACTCTCTTTTCCACTTCCAATTTTAAATTACTTATTTTCTAGACTTCCTCATACCTCCCTCTTTTGTATTCCAGTCCACATTTATTTGTCCAGCAGTTTCTTTTCCACTTTTTTAATCCCAATCTTTAATTTAATAAAATGTTAAAATATATAACTTCAACTTTTTTTTTAAACCTAATCCTTGATCTTAATATCATATAACTTTAAAGTTTTCCCTTTTCACTATCAGACAGTGTAGACCAGACATGGCCCTCCAGCTGTTTTGGGACTACAATTCCCATCATCCCTGACTACTGGTCCTGTTAGCTAAGGATGATGGGAGTTGTAGTCCCAAAACAGCTGGAGGGCTAAGTTTGGCCATGCCTGGTGTGTAGACAATACTGACAGAGATGGGCAAATGGTTTGACTCAGCCCAGGTGATGATGATTTCCAATATGTGCTCTTGTTGTCGCTCCTAAAAGCTGTTACGACCGAGTGCAAATAGCTGGATCTGCGCTTGTATGGTACCAGAATATTGGTATTGTGTGGGTTTTCCTTCTTCCCCACTTGCTACCCTGCTGGATCTCACCTTCATCAGCTGCCTCTTTCCAAAGCTCATCACTTGCATGGATCAACCTGTTCTTCTCAATTTGTGCTCCGCTTGAAACCTCACACTTCAGGTTTATGAATCTGGGAAGAAAAGCAGAGCCTCCATTTGTGGGTGGGATACTGCAGATCCTACTCCAAAGCAATAAAATAAGATATTTTCCTCCCTGAGACAGAATCACATGCCAACGAGAAAGAGAAGAATGAGTAATGATCTGGTCATTTTCAGCTGGGTAGGAAAAGCAGCGGAACAAAGGATGAATGGATAGGTGGGGAAAAAAGAGTCTGAAGAAAGTTATCAATGAGCAACTTTAGCAAATTTATGCTCTCAAGGAATTCTGAATGGACTGAAATGAATTGTGTGCGAGTCTGGCACACAATAGCCTTTTTTTGGCATTTAGAAGTGGCAAAGAGTTTTCTGCAATCTCTCGAAGGATAAACCTCAGTGAAGTGAAGGAAGCTCACCTTTCCCTTTTAAAAAGATTCTGCACTTACAATCAGTGCTATTTGACTGGGAAAGAAAGGATTGTTGAATGGATGACTAATGTCAGAGGCAAGGAGAGGCCTGGGAGCTCGTCTGCTTGAATGGACTAAAGTATCTCATTAATGAACAATCACAGGCTCTCTTAAAAAGCCAAGAGAAAAAGATGAGTTGGACAAAAAGGCACTGGGAACAGCAGATGCCTCACCCATTCAAAACCATAAATGGTGGTGGTTTATCAAACACAAGAAGAGGATGTCATGTTAAAAATTATTTCGATGGTGTTAATACTTCTGCTGGTTTTTTAAAAAAATAAATTTGATCAATATATAAATGTGTGATTCATTGTATGAAAATATAAAAATAACCTAAACATATTCATGTTTTATATAAAGTCCAGATGAATTCAAATAAACATGCAAAAATGTAATAAACATTAGTAATATCCTTCCAGGCCAACACCTATATCCTATAACAGAGAAGCAGTTGATCTTAATCTTATATCTAATTCCCCCAAAACTAAAGAACGGAAAGCAGCTATGCTTCCTCAGATATGGATCTTAATTGTTTCCCAACCCTTAACCTGATCAGTTAGCCACTTGCCAGACTTTCTTTATCCAACATCCAATGGTTAATATTTTATTAGGGCTGCCATATTTCTAGAAGTAAAATTCCGGAAAAACAAAGCTGTTGTCAACCTCAAAATCCTGAACATTTTGCAGGACGCTATTTTTGCCAATTAAATCCTGGACATGTCTGGGGAATTCAGGCTGTACAACAACCCTCATTTCTTTAGTTTTAAAATATGTTTATGCTTTTATGATGGCATTTTTATACAAATTGTACCTCTGAGTGCAGAAACATTTTAAGAATTTTTGCTCTGGATTTTGGATGCCAGCAGTGTTGTCAAATTGAGCCTGGTGGTTTAAGATAAGGAGATGAGATTGGAAGTCCAACTTTTGGGGCTCAGGAGCGTATTTGGAAATTTAAGAAATTGTTGGGAACACCACAAAACACAATTTCAAAGAAGAAAAACTGGTAATGATCAGAATCTCCCCACCCCACCCCAAAATAAACAGGCAAATAGCCCCTAAAACAAAACCAAAAACCCAGAGACCACCCCCAAAAAACCAGGAAATGTCCCATCAAACAGGCAAAAACCACAATCTCTTTTTTTTTAAAGACAAAAATAAAATTGGGAGGGTCAAAAGTCACTGGCAGGCACCTAAGGGAGTTTCTGAGGGCATCATGGTATGTCCAGGTGCCATATTGGGGACCCCAGGAATAGGTGGACAAACAGGCAGAATTACAGTGAAAGAAGTTCTGAAACAATTGCTCAAGATACTAAACTAAAACCATATTAACTGTACGACATAACCTTAAACCTTCTAGAATTGAGAGGAAAAAATTCCATCATCGACAACGGATGCATAAAAAACCCACGGTTTTCATCTTTCCATGAATATCATCTCCTTTATGATGCTAAATATTTGTTTATGGTTAGCTTGGCTACGAAAGGATCTGGTTAAGGGACTCTGCGAGAAAAGTACATGTAAAAAAAGAGTTGAAGTGTTTTCAGTTGCTATGGAAATGCCCAGTGAAGTGTGTCCCTGATTAGAATGCTCATTACTAGAGCCCTCCCCTCTCGCTGGAATGAAAGAAACAACAGAAATGAATGCCAGTCAATGAAATTCACTTGACAAAACCCATTTGTCCCCACAAGAGCAGCAGCAGCACTGGTAGGAAGACTAGACAGTGGGGAAAAGGTAACATCAGAACCTTCCATGGGGTTTCACTTGGAAATCTAGGGAGTAAATCTGATAAATTGGGGGGGTGGGCACCTGCTGCCAATGACTGGCTTATGATCTCTTCCTGTGCTGGATTTACGTATAAGCTAAACAAGCTATGGCTTAGGGCCCCACTCTCTTGGGGGCCCCCAAAAAATTTAAAGGAAAATAAACCTGGATGTACATTTCCAAAATATGAGTTAAAAAACAAAGAAAATAAAACCTACATACAGCAACAGTGTTTTGTGCTGTGTAGGCTCCTATGATGTAAGTAACGGGTCCCGCCTGCTAGCCTGCTCCCTAAAATATCACTGGTTTGCTCATTTCTATATATAGGGTGCCTACATTCTGCATGGACTGGTTGCAAATGTTATGTGCAAATGGCTTTAGATACCTATTAGGTCCATAAATTACCAGATAGCATATATTCAACACATAAAAACAGCGGCAATTTGTTGTTGGCAAAGGACGGCTGGACTTATAAAGGGCCCCATTACCTTCAGTAGCTTAGGGCCTCATCAAACCTAAATCCGGCTCTGATCTCTTCACAACCCATTTACAAATTAAGTCCGCTGCTCCCTAGGGAGCACCCACAGTTTTACTTAGGTCATGTTGTCATCATGCATTTCCCCACCATTCTGCCACTATATTGGTAGAAACACAGAATGTGAAGCCTGTCTAACATTATGATGAAGGAGAAAAAAACCTCATGAGGACTGCTATTTTAAGTGTCCACTATTGAGAGTTACAGGCAGTTCCGTCACCTGGTGTCAAAGATATAATACTCACCAAGAAAATATAAATGTTGTATTATTTCTATTTTTTTTAAAAAAATGCCTCCACAAATACATGGCACACAATTAGTAGGCCGAGTCTAAAAGTGGCGTTTCATCTTTCCTCCAGACCTTTCTTTGAAAACTTGCATAACACAAAAAAAGGTTATTGTTATAATTACCGATTTAAAACTTAGTTATGAATAGCTCTTAGCTGTGAGAGGCATTTTGCATTCCAGGAATACCTTGCATTATTTACTTCTGCTTACAGCTTTTCTGGTGACATCATAGGCCTCTCAAGCAACGGTTATGTGTTTGCTTTGAAAGTCTTTCAGTTTCCCTATTTTAAAACAGGCAACCAAAACGTTTCCATGGAGATCGGCAAGCGAGTCAAATGACGAACTTCTTAGCTGTACTTCTGCTTTGGTTTCTATGGTTTCCAGATTTGAGGTTTAGTGGGGCGGGGGAGCGGTGCAGTTTCCAATTTGTTAAATATAAAAGGTCAATGCAAGTTGAAAGAGGGAGTCAGAATTCCACCAGCAAAGGACCTCTGTCACCTCTGGTAAGTGGGGTGATTTGCAAATGTCGTGCTGTTCAACCACATGGTTTTCTGTCCCAATTTCATAGGGTAAACTAGATTGCTAGGTCTCTCCAGTCTCTGTGCTGCGATTAATCATTTATACTGCACTTTGACTGTGCCAAAGACATCACAGTCTTCATTTCCATCCTCTCAGGTAGGTGGTTATTATTGCTCCCATTTTACCACCGGGGAAACCATGCAGAACAGCTTGCTAATTGCCTTGGCCACCCAGCAACTAAATGTTGGAAGAGGCATGAAACTGATGCCACAAATGGTAGCTCCAAATCAGTCGAGTTCTTCCTTCCCCATGACATGTTGTGATCCTTCCCCACCAAGTGCTGGGGGTTTCCCCACCTACTGTTCTGCCCCTATTTTCAGGTGTTGTTGAAGAAACAAATAGCACAGCAGTCAGGTCAGTGTGCAGCAGAGACGAGATATATTTTTATATCAGCATTTGAAGAATCTCAGTTCAGCCTCATTTGACTTACATACATGGAAGGCAGAGATTCCATCTCTATCACTTACCCGCAACAAGTTGGAGTGCTGAATACTTTGCCATGTTGAACATCGAGATTGCCAAGCAGGATTGGGCATACCCTACACGAGTAACAAAAATAGTACACTTTTCAAGTGGAAATTACTGTGGACTGGCAAGGGTACCATTTAAGGGGCACAGGAGGAGCAATGACTTCCATATTCTATCAGATTACACATTGGCCTGATTCTAGAAGATCACCACAGGCCATGTTACTGGTTTGTTTCTTTTAAAATACAGTGGTAGCTCTGGTTATGAACTTAATTTGTTCCGGAGGTCCGTTCTTAACCTGAAACTGTTCTTAACCTGAGGTACCACTTTAGCTAATGGGGCCTCCCGCTGCTGCTGCACTGCCGCCACGCGATTTCCACTCTCATCCTGAGGTAAAGTTCTTAACCCGAGGTTAGCAGAGTCTGTAACCCGAAGTGTTTGTAACCAAAGGTACCACTTTAATAATTCGAGTAAGTGTTGTTATAAACAATAAAAGGTGCCCTGTGTTGTAGGTATTCAAATCAGGTGCATAAATTCTCTCTCTCTCTCTCTCTCTCTCTCTCTCTCTCTCACTGTTTGACCTCTGTTGATATTTTTGCTGCAGTATTATGAGATATAAGAAAGTGACAACAATGAAGGTTCTGAAACCATTTGCAGTTTAATCCTAAATGCACCCGAGAACAATCCATTGAATCTTGCTTCTAATCTCACCCACTCCTTAACACCCCAAATTAGAAATGGCACCCCTTAGCAGCTGATTTCAGACAGGAGGTGAATAGCACTCATAGAAGAGCCAGATGTGGCTGTCACATCCCTGAAGAGGCATCTGGAATCATAGTTGGGCTAGATTGGGGAGAAGGATGGATCTCAGCCCTCTAGGCCTCTCTACCTGCCCCCTGGGACTTGCCCCAGTTGCCTTCTTTGTTCAAGGAGGGTTCCTTGAGTGTTTTTGCTTGACAGGAACATGTCTTTGAACTCTCATAATGCTCTTGTTTCACCTGGATGGATGAAAGAGTCCACCTCTGGCCTGTGGCCTCTGGAAAGTTGTCCAGTAGGCAATGCTGCCCTCAGCTGAAAAAGCTTCTCCATCCCTGCTCTGCTCACGCAAGTGAGACGTTGTTGGCTTTGCATTTCCACAAAAGAAAGAAAAGAAAAGAAAAGGGCAAAGGAAGAGAAGGGCAGCGCTCATCATTGCTGAGAGTGTAGGTTAATGAATCTGCATCTTTTGCATTATCTCCAAAAGCCAGTTCCTTTTCATTGTATGTTTTGCGGATTAGTCGAAAATCACACTCTCCAGGGAACCTGCATGTATTGCTACCAGTGACTTTTAAAATAGCATTTAAGCTGTGCTCTTTTGTCATCGCTTTATTTATAAGAAGGACATAGGCATTACTCAATTTGGAAAGGTTTATGCTGTATGGCAGGATATTGGGCAATTCCGCCACCGTTGTGTGCATTGCTCAGCTCGGGACAAGGCCTAGAACCTGCTAGTTTCAAGTCAATACAAAGAAAGAACAATGATGACCACACTAGCAAGCAATAATTTCCCTAATGTGTTGCTGTCATTGTGTTTGAAGTCTCCTTCTGTGAGTCTTCAGTTTCTCTCTTTCTCTCTCTGGGAGGAAAAAAAATCAATCTATATGGCTCATGATAACTTGAAGTAATTTTTCTAAGTCAGGAAAGAACCTGAAAGGGCATCTCCCCTGATAACAGAGAGCAGAGGAAGCAGGATGCGGAGTGGCTCTATTAAAGACCCTTTGTGCTTGACACTGGAACACCCAGTGGCTGCCTCGTCTTCCAAGCTCATCATCTCCAGGTCCTCTGTTCCTCCATCTTTGGGGAATAATGTGCACTAGGATGGCTGATGTGGTTTCTTGCAGGTGTGGAGTACACAGCTCCCGTTATACCTGGCCATTCTTCATAGAACTGATGGGAGTTGGAGTCCAACAACGTTGGGGTGAAGCTCAGTGACACACCATCTGCCTTGCATGCAGAAGGTCCCAGGTTCAAACCCCAGCATCTGCAGGTAGGCGTGGGAATAATTCCTGCCTTAAACTCTGGAGAGGTAATGCCAGTCAGTGTAGATCATTTGAGGACCGGAACATTCGCAGAAAAACCAAAGTGCGTGTTTACAAAGCTATTGTACTACCAACCTTACTGTATGCTTGTGAAACATGGACCACTTATAAACACCATCTCCAACTCCTCAAAAGATCCCATCAATGGTGTCTCCAAAAAACGTTACACATCACTTGGGAAGACAGGCGAACTAATACCAGTGTACTGGAAGAAACAAAGATCACCAGTGTCGAAGCAATGGTTTTTCAACATCAACTTCATTGGACTGGTCATGTTGTGCTGATGCCTGATGATAATCTTCCAAAGGAACTACTCTATTCTGAACTTAAAAATGGAAAGCGTAATGCTGGTGGTCAACAAAAGAGGTTTAAAGACTGTTGCAAGGCAATTAAAAATAAATAAATAGTACAAACACCAACAATTGGGAAACACTTGCCTGCGAGTGCTCCAATTGGAGAACAGCCTTTACCAAAGGTGTCATGGGCTTTGAAAACACTCAAATTCAAGACAAAAGGGAGAAACATGCTAAGAGGAAGGCATGCTTGGCAAATCCACACCGTGATCAACTCCCGCTTGGAAACCTATGTCCCCACAGTGGAAGGATATGTGGATTCAGAATTGGCCTCCACAGTCACTTACGGACTCACTGTTAAAACCGTGTTTATGGAAGACAATCATACTCGGCTATGAGTGATCGCAAAGAAGAAGAAGAAGAAGAGGTGGACAAATGGCCAGTCACAGAAGAAGGCAGCTTCCTAAGTTCCTATCTTGAGAGGTGCAGGTAAGCAAGCCTGCAGTAAAAGCTGCTGTGGTTGTAGAGCAACAAAGTGAAGGCCTCAGTCTTGAAAGCTTGCCACCTGGAGGGCTAGAGGTTTTCCATTCTTGCTCTACAGGCTCTTTAAGCCACAGCCTCCATAACTAGATGCCTATTATCATTTCAGCCTATATGAGAGAGTAGACTTTTTCACTCATGCACAGACCCACAAAGTTAGAAGATCAATCCTGAGAGCCACTCATCTCCAAAAGATGTACCTGAAAATGTCTAATTATCATTATCCCTAGTCTGTAGCTGGCCGCTTGCATATTATCGAGACAACTACCTTTATTATACATCATCTTTAGAGTGCTGGGTGATTAGAACTGTACATCACCAGAGTGACAGAGATTTAATTAAAGATGTGTCAAGTGGTTTGCTGTAATGGTAATTAAAGATCTGTCTGATGGATGTGCATAATTTGGCAGTCTTTGAATAAGGGCTCTGCCCTCCAGTCCGTAAGCATGGTGGGTAATTGCTAAAGCATCTCATCGCTGTTCTTACTGGGGAGGAACTAGTTTCCCAACCCCCTGTTTTAGAAATAAAACAGAAAGAAATATGAGCAGAGGCAGTAAGGTGTGCCTGAATGATGGTGGCACACGGTGTGTGGATAATATGTCATCATTCTCTTGTTATTAATAAGGTGGCTGGCTTCTAACAGTAATATGATTTTCAGTTCTTCAGCTAACAGAGAAAGTTGTGGGTGTCTATTGGAGTTTTAGAGCCTGGGAGTTTTCAAGAGACCCAGTAAATCAAGAGACCCAATAAATCTATGACAACCTTAATCATTTGGTTTGGTGCCTGTGTCTGGCATATGTGCATGAGATGGTTAACACCTTTTTGCAGCACTAGCAGTGTGAGATGTGTGACTTTGTCAGTTTTGGTTTTTTCCAAGTTTCTCATTTTTCAAACACAAATTCACTTCTCCATTTTCCCATATAAGTTTGTGATTTTCATTATTTTAAATCCGCATGGAAATGCATCAGGATTTTATTGCAAATTTATCCAAATATAAACATTTTTGCAAAGCAACTCTCCCTAATAAAGTGCATTTTTGTTTAAGGGCTTAGCCACGATTACCTTTCCTCCAGACTTTCCAGGTATGGTCCCTCCACATCATCTTTCTTTCTTTCTTTCTTTCTTTCTTTCTTTCTTTCTTTCTTTCTTTCTTTCCCCAAGAGCTTTCGCTGCAAAAACTCAAAGCCCATGGCATTCAGTGTAACTTATTTTCTGGCAACTTTCATTTCAAAAAAGAAGAAGAGAAAATTGGCTCAAAGCCATGGGAAGCCCCACTTTAACTTTATTGTGTTTCCTAAGACATGGAATCTAACAAAGGGACAATATGAATGGACTGTCCATACCCTTACTACAGCAAAAAGACTGGTAAACTGTAAAAATAAAAATGCTTTAAAATCTCACTTTAATACCCCTTTCTTCCACAACCTTTCCCAATCTTCCAACATTATATTGTGTCCAACGTCTCTTGCCCAATCAATCATCGCTTGAAAGTACCAAACAGGCCGAGGATTAAAATAAGATTCAATTGTAAGTAAGTTGGATTTAGAATATTAAGAAAAGAGAAGAAGATAGTTAATTGTTGGAAATAATTTTAGTTGAAGAATGATATTGGAGAGCTGTTATATGCAGATACAATGAAATTCAGAAGGGAGGGATTCGAGGAAGTCAATTAACAATGTAAAATAATTTGGGCTTTTCAAGTGATATGTGTTTAAATTTTTTATTGTTCTTCTTTTTTAGTATTGTAATGTGTTTTCTCTTGTGTGTTTTCTTTTCTTTTTTCTATGTTATATTTGTTATAATTGTGAAAAACTTAATAAAAAAATTGGGGGGGGGGGAATCTCACTTTAATACTCTGATTGAAGCTATGTACAAACTCACTACACTTGAACAAGTTGTGTACAAATGTAGACTTGCCATGGACAACTTTAACAATATTGGGAATTCATTTTTATAAATGCCATACTATATCAAGATCTGGTTAACTACAATAACAAGTCCCTCCTCCCTTTCTGTAATGTACACAATATCTCCCCACCCCGCTACATGGGTACTATTTCTTGTTTTGTCTTCTTTTTTGAGTCTTATCTTATTCTCTGCATGTGTGCGATACCTTTCCAAGAAGCTGAAGACCTGGCAGTCAACTGTTTCCTGCATAAAGAGGAGCAAGGGAGGCTGGATCTAGCCCCACTCCTTAAGAAACGAATGGCAAAGCGTTAACTTTTTGGAAAGCGTAGGTCCAAGTGTTGGATTGCAGGTATGTGTGTGAGTGTGTGTCGTGGTTCAGCATTTGTTTGTGCTCGCAGTTCTGCCTGAGGAAACCAGATTCTAAACACAGAATAAACTTGGCTGGACTGAGACAATCGGTCCCCCAACTCTGTGTGAAATGAGTAGCATAACTCTCCATATTACAGCCAGCAATGTCAAAGCACTTCCTATCTCATGATTATACTGTGCTTATTAAGCTTTTAGCTAATGCATTATCGATGAGTGCATTGCTTTTGGCCCATATCCATCTGAAAAGATATCAACAAAAGTTATAAGTAGATCACAATATATAGCTTATAGCTGGGCTTCTTTTGCCTCCGACATAACTGGTAACTCAGTTAGAAAGGCCTCCTTTTTATAATATCTGGGTGGTCAAGTTGCCGAACACTGCAATTCTAGGCACACTTAGTAGCAAGTTCATTAAAATTAAAAAAGGAGTTATTTATGAGTAAAGTTGCAAAGGATTGGACACTTGCACAAGGAGAAACCTATGTGATCTTTTTTCAGAGCATCAATAAAATGAATTTGAAAGCCCAAATTCAAATTTGGAGGCATCAAAGCTAAGCCTCCAGAGCAAGTTGCTTGGCTCTCTAGCACCTGCCTACACTCCCAATAAGGCCATTTCTATTCCCTATCTCAGGAACTACTAAAGTTTATGGTCCATGCAAAGTGGGTTGGGTAGCCTGTGTAAGTCATAACAACTATCTTGCTAGGTTTTATTTGTATACTGGCATTTCAAGCTGTAAAACGACTGCCATGTTGCGCAAATGAAACATTTGGTATTCGTTTATATAGGTGTTTGTTGGCTGTTGTTATGGGTTCATGCGTATGTGTGAATGCGTATGTGCCTGCGCAAGTCACAGGAGCATAGGAAGCTGTGGGAATGTTCAGGGATGCAGGAGAGGATATTTTTTTTGATTATAGCCTTTCCAACTTGTGTTAACAAGTTCAAAATTTAGCAGAGTAACATTCCCCTTTTTAAGCTTGCAGCGGATGTGTTTGCTCAGGCTCGCTAAAGTCTCTATAGTAACTGTTCTGGTATTTTCCCCTCATTCCCTCATAAAAGATAAGACACGACACAGTCTTCTATAAAAGTATAAAAAGAGTTTACTCACATTCTGTTCACAATTGGATCCCAGAAGGCAGACTTAGCTTAGAAAAGTAACATACACTTGGAAACTATCTCATAAGGAGACAGTCCCAGCCAAGAGAGCATCTTTGGCTAAGCAGATGTTGCTTCTTCGATGCATGTAGTCAAAGAGAGAGAGAGATGGCTGCCCTGCCCTGTGCTTTTGTCGTTACCTGCACAGGTGAGGCCACACCCACCTCTAGTAGTCACATGCAAAGGAAGTCTGTCCCAGCCCAGAAGGAAACAGGAAGTTTACCTCTGGCTGGACAAACATTCCTCCCCATGTGTAAATATGTTCACTCTAGGAATGTTGTACTTGACTGCTCTTGTGTTTCACAACCCACAGAAGCTGCCTTATATTTGAGTCAGACCATTGGTCTATCTACTCAGTACTGTCTACACTGACTGGTGACAACTCTCCAGGGTTTCAGACAGGGGATTGAACCTGGGACATTCCGCCTGCAGAGCAGATGTTCCACCACCAAGATGCCCATTTCTGATCCATTACCATTCTCTGCTGTGATTGACAGCACTACATCATTCCCGATAAAGAGATCCAACTGAATTCTTCTTCAGATGAGGCACCCATCATTGGTGATGGCCTGTCTCTTTCTACTCACTGCTCATTCTTACTTTCACACACTTAAAAAAGTTAATATTTTGGGGATAATAGCACAACGTGTCTCCAATTTATTTTATTTCAGGAAAAAAACATGG